CATCGAGGCACCACTTCTCCGTTCATCCTGAGGCCGAGTCCCACATACAGCAACTAGAAGGATGTGCAGCTACGACATACAACTATCCACTGGGGCTTTGGGGGGAAAAATAAAATAAATAAAATCTTAAAAAAAAAAGTTAACCATACGCTTAGCTCTTAGTATGGATATAATACAGTAACTGAAATGTACATCCTAAGACAAGGGTTGGCAAACTATGACCCACGAGCCAGATCTGGCCCATGGCCTGTTTTAGTATGGCCCATGAGCTAAGAAGGGCTGTTACATTTTTAAACTGTTAAAAAAAAAAAAAAAAAAAGAAGAAGAATATGCGTCAGAGACTGTATGTGACCTGAAAAACCTAAAATATTTACCATCTGGACATTTACAGAAAATGTTTACCAATTTTGTTGAAAGTCAGTGACTTTCAAACTTTTTGGATCATAATCCACAGAAATACATTATAAATCCATCTCGATACCTCCATCCATCTATCTATCTGTTTACTATTGAAATACAAATTTCACAAAGTACTAATGCTTACTACCACTTAAGTTGCATTCTTCCTTTCTCTTTTCTTCCCTTCCTTTTCTATCCTCTCCCATTCTTTAAAAAAATTCTGATCATAATCCAATAAATTATTTTAATAAATAACTACGAAAAAGTCTCAACCTACCATTTTAAAAACACTCATAACGTTAAAATCAACTTAAATGTATCCTCCCTCTCTTAGCTTCCGAACTAGTCAATAATGAAATGTTGATTTTGTTTTTTACTTTATAGCCTTTGTCTCCAGCCCAGTTTCTTACTTCTCTTCTGTTTCTCTTCCTTTTATAAATTTCCCCTTTAAAAATCTTTATTGTTTTTCTGCTTTATTCTGCAGTTTTATCAATCCTGTCTATCTCTGACCCGTTTAATGCACAGACTCAGAGGCTGTGGTAGACCCTACCCACACCCACATCTGCCACAGGCCGGTCAGAGAACCAGCCTGGGCAAAGACTCAGCACATTTGCTCCACACATCCCTGCCGGCCAGAGGTAATCAGAATCACCATCTTCCAGAGGAAAGCTGAGCTAAGCCTCACTCTGGATTTGTCCTAAGTTACAGCAATTTGGCAATGGAGCTGGAAGCCACATCTTGGTGTCCTACCTCATTTTAGGACTTACTCCAAACAACACGGGATAGTTAGTTCATAGGTGACTTGAAACAGCGCCAAGCACAAAAAAGATGTAAAACAAGCGTTCTCCTGGTTGATCCAGATAAACAAGAGAAGAACGCTCACTAATCTTTATGCAGAAACTACTCCTTTGGATACCTTCAACATCTAGCTAGGATTCACTCTTCATCTTCATTTTCAGATAATCTGGGCTGTTTAACGAATCCTTACCTCTTCTAACTTGAGAGCCTACCTTAGAATTTACCTCTTCAGAAAATTTCTCCTGACTAAATCTACCCAAACCTGATTACTACTTTATCCAGCACCTTAAAAAAAATTCAATCTGCACTTAAAAGAGTCTCAGAGTGAAAAGGAACTTCAGACACCAGCAGTGCAGCCGGCTCCTCTGAGAGGCAGCTCTGTGACGTGTGGGTGCTGGAGCAGACACACCGGGATCCATGCCAGCACTGGCACATGCCCACTGTGTGACTGTGGGCAGTCTCCTATTCTGCCTCGTTGAGTCTCACTTATCTCATCTATGACACGGTCCCTGGTGTCTAGTAAGAATTCAACAAATAGTAGCTATTACTGTTAACGTTACTTTGACGTGCCTTAGAAACTGCCCCTTAGAACGGTTAACATGACCTGCCCCAAGTTAGTAATAGTCAGGACCCTAAGGTGGTCAGAGCAGAGACCCTCATGGTTTCTTTCCTGGACCACCATCATAATTTGCTAAATGGTTTCTATAACTACTGTTCAATTCAGTTTTTACACTATTACCAAAATGGTCCCTTTTAGAAAACAAATTTGATTAAAATTCCCATGCTTAAAAATTTTCAGTGGTTCCCAGTGTTCACAGGATTAAATGCAAACTCCTTAGCCACTTACCCAACGCCCTGCACAATTTGGGCCTAACCCATCTTTTGAGTGTCGTCTCCACCCACCATCTCAAAAGATGCTATGCTTAAGCTGTACAAACCCTGACCATCCTCCAAAAGTGCTGTGCTCTCTCGCACCTCTATGCCTTGGTCCTGGCTATCCCTCTGCCTAAGACATTCACCTGTCTTCATCTGGTCAAGTCATTACCCACGGCCCAAGCCAGCGTTCTCTTCGGTGAAGCATCCACAGTGTCTGCAAGCTTAGTCACTGACCTTTCCTCTGTGCTCCATCCATGCCTTCCACTATGTTGATCATCATCACCCAGTTTTCTCCAATCCTTTGTTTTACGTATGACTTCCTGACTGTATATTGTTCCAGGGTAGGGGCTGCTTCTCATTCATCTTTATATACACATGACTTAGTTTAGACCTGTCCAGACTGAGTGCTTACTAAATAGCTCTGGAATGAATGAGCGAATAAATTAACAAATGAATGGATGGATGGTTAAATAAATTAATGAACAAATAGAGCCAAGCACTTCTAGGTCCCAGGTTGTTCCTCATTTCACTGTATCTGCCTTTGCTTGCACACTAATTGTTTTAGAAACATATTAACATGGTTTTCACTTAAGTATATGATGTCTCTTGAATTAAATTAGAACCTTCTAAAGGGCATGTTCATCCTCTAACTATGCTTTTCACTCTCTCACATCCAAACATATCAGGGTTTGGTTAAGTTTCTGAATGCTCTCTTTTGCAATATACCTGCATGACAAGAATTTTCTTCATTTGTCATGAAGGAAATTACAGAGAAGGTTTTATTTCAAAGAGAGTGTTGTAACAAGATGTTATCTTAGTGCAGTCATGAAAAAGAAATAATCTCCTGATTTAGTTTCTTGTTGACAGTAGAAGAGAAAACATTCAGGGTTCCATCTCTTTAGATGTATAAATGACAGTCTGTAGTTTAGTGTTCAGACCCTTCAAAGGAGATATTATTTTCTTGCATAAAACATGAAGATAGGGGCTCAATGGAAAAACTATTTTCAGTCTCTCTCATTTTTTGGTCAAACTTTCAGAAATATTTTTTAAAGGAAGATAGTAATACCTTAGGCTTGAATTTATTATCATAAGTGTTTAAAAGTATTCAACCTAGGAAATTGCTCCTAAGTATGAAACTTTCTCTACTTCCTGGTAACTCACTGAAGAGACAAAATTTGGCAAGATATAAAAGGCCAAGTATAAGCTCCTCCACAAACATGAGAATAAATAGGTTCGCAGACATGCTGACCATCACACACCTTATCTACTGACTCTAAACCAATGATTCTCAACCAAGAGCGACTTTGCCCCCCAGGGGATGTTTGGCAATGTCTGAAGACATTTTCGTTATCACAACTAGGAGCTTGCTACTGGCATCTAGTGGGTAAAAGCCAGGGATGCTAATGGTGCTAAACATCCTACAATGCACAGAACAACCCCCCATAACCAAGAATGATCTGGCCCAAAATGTCAATAGTGCCCAGGTTGGGAAAGCGTGCCCTAGATATATAGATTTCCACATCACTGACGCAAAACAGTAGAAGAAGATGAGTACGCATTCCTAATTACTCTCTTCTCCCTGCAAAATCTAGAATTAGGAGGGAATAAATTATGATGATATGTTCACAGTTCATATATAAGGTAGCATTTGGAAGGAAACAGGATAGAGAAAAATAAGGGGCATTTCAAGCAACTAAGTTCTTAGAAGGAAAACACATTTCAGACATTTTCATTTCCACTATAGTCAATCTTAACATCTGCAGTGGGTTTTAACCGTCCAGGCAGATGGATAATTGGAGCTAAAGTCAGACTGTAAAGCCTATACCAGCTCCAGGAGTAAAATTTCCCAGGAGCTTAATGTGTTTTGGATATGATACTTCCAGTGGCTTTAATAAGCATCATAACTCTCATGGATGTTTTTAAAGTAATCAGAAAGTTGAAACTGGATAAATCTCCAAAAAAGCTGACCTGGCCTGGTCATTACCAAGGACATTTTAATAGCAATAGGCAAATGGAACTATTTCAATGTCAGAGAGACAATTCAGAATAAGTATATTTACTGGACCTGGTGACAGACATACCAAAATGAGGAAAGATGCCCAAGAAAGAATATTTTCCATTACCTCTACACCTATATTTGCACTGCAACATAATCTTTATTAAAATGAATATTTAGGTATCTGCTTCCAAATGGAAAAACAAAAACAAAATTGTTCAAGTGAAATATGTTAAGAATGTATTTGGATGCCAAGTTTTTTGAAAAGACCTTTCAGTGGAGGCTATTACAGTTAATTGGTTGAGACTTTGGCCAAACCCTCTGTGGCTACCGCTGATTTTCATAATGTATGGTTCTGGAACAGCACAACACTGGTACACATTTCTAAACATAGAGACCTCCAGACAAAATCCTCATCGACAAATACTAACCACCAATCTGTGATAAAAATCTCTTCTTTGGCCTCTTCCATTGCATTTGCCACATCTTCAAAATATCCTTTGGCATTAACATACCTGAAAGACAAGTTTTTCATTTCGTTTTTTTTTTTTAACAAAAATATAAATAAAATAAATATATCCTATTGTAGAGCAAAACAGGGAAGCCACTGCCTAAAGCATCCACATAACCACCAGCTTACTTTGTGTAACTACAAAACAAGGATTGAAAACCCCACCTTACATCTGCTATGTAGGAAGGACCATAAGTAGACAGAAGTAAGCAACACAATGCTTCTCGGCTTAGGGAACAATAAATTAATTGGTCTCAACATCATATGGGGTCAGATGAATTCTCCCATCCTGTTGAACTCACACATAGCTGTTCTTCTAAGACTGAAAACAGACCAGTTTCCAATACAGAGGTAGAAAAACACACTAAGCATGATTTTATCTAAAAGAAATATCTAGCAAGTAAATTCTCTTTTCTAAATTATGGCTAATGACTTAAATAAACCTTCCATTTGCATCAGTAAGATAATCTGTAAAGTTGACTTTTACAATCAAACTTCAAAATCTATGGCTAGCTATCTAAAGCTCACCAAAAAACATCTTAAAAACAAAAATTGGAAAACTAATCTATGCTCAGGTAGTCCTGTGAAGAGAGGCTCTTGTTAAGTATAATACATAATATCTTTTCACAGCTTCGAAAATTGATTCCAGGTGAATTTAGACCACTATAATATGGAAAGCTATGACCGCCCTGACAGTCTCAAAGCAAACAGATCTTACCATTTAGCTAAAGTGTTCTCTTGGATAGCAGCATACGACCCAAATCGATGATCTTTGAGAAAGTTGGTGCCATGTTTCTGGATGAATTCTTCTATAGCCCCTGCCCACCACCGAGCATGTCTATAGCTATTGCATTTTAAAATAAGGGTCCTTCAAAGAAAAACAAAATGTGGGAAAGAATGGTCACTCTGTGTTCAGTCTCTTTAAAGAAATTTAGAGATTAAACATGCCCTGTTTTGTTTTGGTACTGTAGCAAACATAAGTGGAAAAATTTAGGCAAAGAGTATCTTACTTATATCAAAAAAGCAGACTTCTAAAAATTTTTGGCAGGATTTTAAAATATATTCAAAGTACCAAAAATAAAATTTCAGGTTACTTATTCACTCATTCGCTCATGCAAACATGTGTAAAGGTACTTACCACAGGCCCAGAGCTGTGCTAGGCTGTGAGGAGGAGAATGAAAGAGGTGTAAGGTGAGGTCCTGTGTCTAAGTGTTATTTAGAGAGCTGTTGGCTTCAGTAGAGGACATTCTCCTTTGTACCACCTGGTGTCCATCCCTCAGCTTCTGAAACATCATCCTGATTGTGCTTTAGGAGAGTAATCCCTCCCTACTCTGAGTCCACCAAAGCCAAGCACAATGGCATATTCCAGCCCTATGACCCCAAAGACGGGTTCAGGGATCTATTATAGGGACCAATGAGAACTGTGGCCTGATTTCTATGGTTCTCCAGAAAACCAAAATGCAGTACCAGGAGGAAGGCTTAATGGCAGCATCTTTGCGTTTTTTAATAACCGATCTTGAACCTTCCATTGTCAGAGAAGATCAGGAAGTTCTGAATCTTTTTACACACACACACACACACGCAAATGTATATTAGTAAGCATATATATATCTGTATGTCAGTCAATGTGAGTAAAGAAAGAAATGTATATATATTCATATACATGAAGCTGAACTAAACAGAGACAAATGTATATACAGAGAAAGAGACACATACATTGTATAACCACAATCTTCCAGAAGGAAACATATATATCAACACATACACACTAATAAAATCTATAGTAAATATACACTTGAGTATTCTTTCAAGGTATCTTTCTTAAAATCTGTGTGCAAACAGAATTTTTGTAAATCAAATCACTTTTTAAGTATTTTGTTAATTAAAGGGTATCAATTTATAAAGTAAAATTTATTTTTTAAAAATGTGAACTATCACTCCTTAATTTATCTGTTTGATAAATTGGCATTACTGAGTAGTCAATTTTGTTAAAATAGGCATATCTCAACACACAGGATTGTTTATTCTGACTGCTGCATTTGGATATCCTATTCTTAAAAATATAGACAAAGAAAAAGTAGTTTCATTACTTTTGATTGAGGATGAGTTCTAAACAACAATTGTCTAACATTTAAATTATTTTACCTCCTCCTTCACTTAAGGTTGGGGGAAAAACTTTGGTTTTAAGAGATTTTTGTAGATACTCTTTTAAAAATATTTGAAATTTCTACCTTGAAAGATTATCAATTCGGAGTCCATATTTCGTCTCTGTCTCTTTTCTCCCCACCTTAATTCTGAATTCTTTATCTACCAGCAGGACGAAGGCAATAGCACCGCTGTCTGGTTTCATATACAATAAAAAGGAATCTTTCACTATCAACCACCTGTAAGAAGAGAATAATGATTTTTAAAGTTGTATTGAATTACTGAAACAAAAAGAACCAATTATTATGACAAGTCTGAAGTAAACACTCTAGCAGATGATAGGCACAATTTTATTTTTTACACGGGAGATTTATTTTTTAAAAATCACTATGAAACAAAAAAAAGAAACAAAATCTTTCTATTATGCTTTTCTAAGGAGTACTGGCGCCAAATGATTCAAAATAATTCAAACACTAACGGCAAAGTCTGGAAAGAAGGTCCCTGATATCCGCAAGTAACACGGGCAGGAGGTACAGCACGAGCCCCAGCTGGTGCAAGAATGGAATGGGCTGGTGGTTGCTAAAATAAAATCTCAGGAAAGAGGCAAGTAAGTCTGTCAGTAAGTAAAACCTCCTTCAAAAAATCCAGTAAGCATCCAATACGCCACACCAGCTGTTGTTCATTTCAAATTACTTGTGGTTTTAAGGACCATTAATAAATGATGCTCAATGGAACATGATCTCTCAAAAGTATATTTCCATTCAATTCAATAGATATTTATGAGCTTCATAATGGAAAAGTACAGTGATAACCTAGGAGTTAGGGCAGAGGAAGAAATAGGACAAAGATAAATCACACATGTTCTCAAAGGAGCTTATTAGGCTAGTGGGGCACAAACAATGATAATTCTAGGCTGCATGGGATAGGTACTAGAAGGGAAAAGCAAAAAGTGATGGGTGGAAGGGAGGAGTCCTTAGTTCTGACTAAGAGAAGGAGCTAATGACATTCTCCCGAAGAGGTGGTATCTGGCGAGGCCAGGAAGGATCCCATCAAGTAGAGCTCCAAGGGGGAGGTCGAGGTGCACATCCCACATGGAGGGAAGAGTGAGCAAAGGCCTAAGGTGTGGAAATGCTGCATGTGTTGGGAGAAAGTCTGGTGAGGCCAGGTCTCAGGGAGTGTAGTCAGAGAAAATAGGCAAAGGCTACACTGAGGAGGGTCTGAAGGCCATGCTCAGGAGGTTGATTTTATACCATGGAACTAGTGTTTCCTAAACTTGCCGGATCATCAGAATCTCTTGAGATGCTTGTTAAAAATAATAGACTCCCAGGCCCTAGAACAGATTCAATAAAAAGGCCTGGCGATCTGTGTTTTTAACAAAAACACCACGGTGCTTACTAAATAAGGGAATCCTCATACCCTGGGGCAAGGTAATAAAACAATAATATCATTGGAACAATGTTTTGGAAAGAAAGGCGTGAAGGAGAAAGAGGGACACTGTGTGGCAGGTTAGCAGGCTCCTGCAATAAGATAGAGCAGCTCTTCCCACACTCTGCCGTGAATACACATCACCCGGGGATCCTGCGAAAACGCAGATTCTGCTTCAGCAGGTCTGGGACAGGGCCCGAGATTCTGCATTTCTCACAAGCTCATAGGCGATGCTCATCCTGAGACCACACTTTGAGGAGTAAGGAAGTAGATGTTAGGCATGACGATGACAGTGGGAAGAGCAAGAGGGAAAGGATGGGGCTGACTTGAAGTGAATACAAATGGCAACTCCGTCATGCTGCATATAACACTATACATTCATATTTACCTGCAATTGTGTAGTGATCAATGAATCAGCTGATAAATGAATACAGCAACAATGGGCGTATTATATCAAATATCAGACAAAGTAAAACACATTATGAAACAGTTAAGGCCAGGACACCTGAACATAAGTTAAACAATATTGTAAATGTAACCTGAGAAATCAGCATTTAAAAGAAGTCTACAAAAAAAAAAATAAATAAAAAATAAAAGAAGTCTACAATAAATCTTTACTGAAATGGCTAACCACATTACATTTTAGTGGCTTTATAATTTAAGATTTAATGTAGACCAAATCTACATTGATTTCCTCATAGTTTCATTTCATTCATTTGTTTTTTAATATGGAGGCTGTCTAATTCCCAGTGAAAGGGGATGGGATGGATTTAGGATAAGTTACAGGAAAGGACATACATGTGATATGGTTAACAAAACAAAAAACATTAAAGTCACAGAAAGCAAATACCTAACCACTACGCTAATATAACTACGGTGCTGGCACACCAATGTGGGTCTGAGCTTCCTGGTTTTTCTTATCAAATGAATAAATTAAAGAAATAAAGAAGTTCCCCCCTAAAAAACTAAATTCCAAAGGAAGTTTCTCATTTGGGACCTAACATAAGGCAACTGAACTGTATAATGGATAACATTCTCAATAATTTTCAGTACATGCAGAAATTATACATTTTATAAGAATTCTCATAACACCACTCAATATAAACGCCAAGGCCATGATATTAAAGGGTAACTCGATGCTTCTGATGGGGCTGAGTTCTGAGTCCAGACATATAGCTGCCTGTTGACAAAACTTGGTTAAGACTAAAAGAGATTAGATAGATCAGATATCTATTAAAAAGTTCCTTCTTTAGCTGCAGTCCCTTCTCCCCATTGGCTTTTGATGCAAGCTAGAGAGCGGATGGCGTGGCACAGGCCCAGAGTACTGGTCTGCTATGTTGCTGACTGGGAAAGAGTCATAGTTTTGAAAACCACAGCCAGGTTTACCAATCTGAGAAGAAAGTCAAACATACCAGACTTGTGAATTTGCCTGTCTGGAAGTCAAGGACACCTGAATGGTATCAGAGCCAGCTCTGCCCGGAGTTCCACACCAGAGACAACGGTGCGGGATGACAATGGCATGACCCCTATCCAGGTGTACCGCTCCCATCATCGCCATTACAAAACAAATCTCAGAAAGGCTCCTGTGAGTGCAGGCTCGTGGCATAACCACTAGGGCCAAGGGCTGCAAAACAGGCCCTCAGGAATAGGCCCCAGGTACCACTGTGCAGATGTGCCCTGCGGAAGGAGGGGTCTGGTGTGGCTGCATCATCCTGCAGGGATGGGCACTTTTTTCCCATTTGACAGAGGCTCCAAATAGGCTATTAATAGCCTTGTTCAGCATTGGAAATGAGATGGCTGGGTGTGTTGCATGGCCAGGGCACTGCTCAACTCTGGAGGTGCCATTCACGTGGTATCCTAATGAATGGTTTCCCCCTGCCCTTCCAAGGTGCGGCAGCCTGGAAATACGGAATTGTTTATTAACGACAACTGGACTTTGAAAGCTGAATGCAAAGGATAATGGTTTCCGTTTTGACAGTGATGAGTTATTCTCTATAACAGTCATTAGATATCATGGTAAATTGATTCCTGGCCTTTATTTAAAACTCCTTTTTATTATGCCATTCATTAAAACTCTTCAAATTTTCTGATCTCTTCCTTTCTCTCTTTTGTCAATGGTTTTTTTTTTTTTTTTCCTTTAACTGGAGGATATGCGTCAAGAAAGGAATCCAATCCATCAGCCAGCCTTCTGGGAGTCGGCATTGGCTGCACAGGAATCAAGCACCTGCCTTCGTCAGCCTCCCTGGGCTCCAATTGCAGCTGTGCCGTTCACCCACTGTGTGAATCTGGGCAACTGAGCCTGAGGTCTAAATCTATAAAATGAGGATAACAGCAATGTCCAGTTCACAAGCGTTTGTGAGGATTAACTGAGATGATTCATGTGCATTGCTTAGCACGGTGCCTGGCACCAATAAATAAGAGCTTTTATGAATATTCTTGTTCTAAAGCAGGTGAGACTATGGTCTGTTCTAACAAGATGCCTCCAGCCTGTGCTACTACTCGCTGTGGCATTAAAACGCAGATGGGCCCACACAAGCCGGTCATCACCTTCTCAGCCTAAACTCCTACTATTATCTCCCATCGCCTTGGTCTGGCTGTTCCTCAGACTTGCCACACTTGTTCTTTGAGCCTCTGTGTTTGCTATTCCTCTGCCTACTAATTGTTTTTTCCAGATCCTCCCATAGGTGATCCCTTCCTGTCAATCAACCCTCTGCTTAAACATTCCTCCACAGGGAGGTCTTCCCTGGCTCCCCGATCTGAAAAAGCTGTCCCCACCCCTCACCCTCTACTCCATCATGTTTAGTTTCTTCACAGCATTTACCACTATCTGGAAGTATTTTTTTGCCTGCTTGTCGTCTGTCTCCTCCACTAGAAAGTAAGATCCATGAGAGCAGGGACTGTGTCTGTCCTGTCCACTGGTATCTTCCCAGAGCCTGGAATAATCTGCAGCAGCCCAGAGCAAGTCTTCAGGCAAAGCAACCCTCTCTCCTAAATGATGGTCCCAGAGAGTAAATGTAATCATTTAGACATTGTCACTGTCTACAAATTTTAATTCTTGGTATAGCTTGTCAAAATTGCCTTTAGTGGAGCCATTTTAAAATAGAGTCAGAGCTGCCTTTCCAGAGAAACTACCTTGTTGTCTTGAACCTTGGACTGGGCCAAACCTTTGGGCTGGGCCAAAAGGGCAATTGTTTTACAAGCAATTGTTTGAGAAGTCAGCAGGAGAATGGACATCACAATGACTAAGGCTTGCGGACTTTTTGAAGACAGAATCAATAGTCAATCAATGTTTAGCCAAGACTTACTTCTGCCTCCGACTCCAATTAAAATTGTTTGTAATACAACCCCCATTCTGTGCCTTTAAAAGCCCCTGACATTTACTCCCTAGCAGGACACTATTTGGGTTTCTACCTGAATCTATGCTCCCTGAAGTGCAATTCTTTGATCCCAAATATATTCTTTGCTTCTTAAACTGGTTTCTGTTTTTGAACGTTGACACGTGGTGTCAGAAAGCAGGATCTTAAGTGATCTCACCTTCGGGGACCAGAGTCTCCTGGAAACGGCTTTGGTACCAACGCGAGCCATGTTGCATGCTCATCCGCTCCCAGGGACAGCTGACTCCTCTGGTTCTGGGACCTCTCAGGCTTGAACCTCCCCTCCTTTTGGTTAAGGTCTTTGCCTTTCTTCAGGATTCTAGGGCAAGAGCCCAATCTGGGGTCAAGTGACCAGGAGACAAGTATCTCCAAGCTGGCTCACAGCTATTGTCCTCTGAAAGAGTTTCCCTGTTTGGGCCACCTTATGGCAGCTCACGGCT